GAACACATTGCAGAACGGGGCTTGACTTGTGGCTGGTCGGGGGTATGTGTTTTGGGATACTTTGTCTTCTTTCAGGAATCGAACCCCCAAACCGTTGAATCCGGAACTGGACCCCACCAGGTCGTCGGGGTCGCCAGTGGGGCGTTGCTCAAGGGGACGACCCACAATGCCCGGTGTCCCTTTGGCGGCTTTTTTGAAGCCACCCCAAGAAGGGTACCCTCAAAATATACAGGCCCCTCGTTAGTTTGTGCTTCTTTGGTGTTTGATTTGTCCACGGATCCCGCTGGCAAACGCTTGGAACACCAAACTGAAACCAGCAATGCGAAAAGGCCCCCAATGTTAATTTGAAGCTTGAGCCAAGGTCTCCGTACAAGGAATTGGAGAAGTCATAGTTTGGGGCCCAGCATCATTAGAACCAAGGGGATTGTGATGCAAAAGCCCCAAATCCCACGAGACACAAAAAGGCCTGTTCGGGGCAACTCTTGCACCCGCCCCCCATACCCCGGGACCAAGGCATAGCGGCACCCTCCCCATGGCTTCATCATGTTGAAGGCATTCCATTGCCCACTCATAGCATGTGCAACCTAAAGCTTCCCAGTTGTTGCACAACGACGCGCAGCCATGCTCCTACACCCTCCGTGGCTATCACTCCCGACCAGGCCCGTCTGGACAAACCGCATCTTTTCTCAGATGCCCAGTGGATTTCCATGGAAAAAGGCAGGGGGCATCTTTTTGTTTGGTTGGTTGAGTTGAATACGGGTGCAGCAATCCCCCAACCGAAGGGCAGCCCAAGTCTTCCAGCAAAACCACAGCGTCTGCCGGCGACAGCTCCTTGTACTGGGCATGGTACTGGGTCCAAACCAAGGGATGGGAGCCATCCGCGCACGCGGCCGTAAAGAACTGGGCGCGGTCTGCCACGAACCTCAGCGAAAGCTCGGGGGGCTACAAACAAACCCCGCGGCTTTCCTCGCGCAGATGCCAAGGAAGAAGGAATTTACCCAACTTTGGCGACATCACCTGGGCATGTGGCCCATTGGACCTCATTTAGGTGGGGATTCATTCATGTCCACCAACCACTGTTGAGGTTCTGACTCGCTAAGTTCATTGCTACCTTTGCGCAACAACTCAAGGCGAGCACATGGTCGCCCGAAGCGAAACGCTCGACTCTTTGGGTGGTGGAAGTTGTGATCCGAAGGAAAGCCTTGCAAATGACAAAACTTCACTAACTAGGCTGCTCCAATTTGGGGCATCCCTATAATCCGTAGTGGAACCACAACTACAAGGGAAACCAGTCATCTGGCATATGGGATAAGGATTCATAGTGAAGAACCAACTAAACGAGAGTACTCGAAGGGGCAGGGTACTTCGTAATCCCACTTACCATGGTTATAAATATCCTATGCCAATCACCTCTTTGCCGCCATGCTGCTGACGCACTTCTGACAGGAAGTGAAGCTCCTGCGGATGGAATGGGGTGAGTCAGCGCAACTTGTTGCATAAGTTGCATAAGCTACAATAAGTAATGCTAAGAAAAACTACTGGGACGAAATCCGTTCGCACCACCCAAGAAGCCCTGGTTTTTGATTCGATTGCCCTGCAAATACCGGCAAACAACGGTGTCAACCGTGGTTTCAAAGTGCTTCCTTTCACATACACTACAAGTACCAGCATGGATTTTTGATGCCCCATACTGCCACAAGAAAGGGATAGTGGACGAATCAAATCACCTCAGTATGCTCATGTGTCAGCCTCTAAGCAGCCTCCTTCAGTACACCATTTCCACCACAGGGCCAGCGTCTGGTTCTCTCCAAACGCTTGCAATGCGCCAAGTGCAGTTGGATTTGGTATCATGGGCGACTGGTTCGGAAGCTCCAGTTTGCCGCATTGCCGCCCCGGCGTTGACGCAAACTGAATTTTGTACAACTTCCAAAGGGAAACGAAGGGCGACTGGGCATGGACCTTCCAATTGATTCTCGGTATCTTCCAAACTTCGAAGGCTTAGTCCGAAAAGTGGGTGCTAAGTAGAGGGGCTGGAAAAACGTGTAACTTCCTTGGGGGCGAGAAAACAGCTCAGCTTTTTGCAGCCTCCCACCCAACATGAGTGAACTGAAAAACCGCATTTCATGCCAACAAATGTGGGGTTGCGCTTTATTGAGGGTACCCCTTTCCAGGTTGGTTTAAAGGAAACCGAAGGGAAACCACCCGCTTCGGGCCGATTCAAAACATAATTCTGCCACGTATGGGTGTTTCTGAACATTGGGGACCGATTCCTCCGGGTAGGTGATTTCCCTTTCAGAGGTACAAGGGACCCTCTGGCACTCGGACCGCTGGAACCGCGCCTCAAAGCCCCTTCGCACCGGCTCCAGGCTGCTCCCGTGGGGCGCCAAGCGACTCAGCCTGCGGGCACGTGAGTCATATGGCTGCTCAGAAAACCGGAAAATTCCAAAATGGGTTGCCCTGGTAACTGGAAACATCGACCAAAACCTGCGGTTTGCCCCTCCTGTTTCATTTTGAGCCACACCCATATTCAAAAGCCGGTACTAAAATGGTCGACCCAGAACCATGTCTTAAGGATGTAGAAGGCGGACATCCGCAGCTATGGTCCGCAGAATTTCCCTTCCTTAAGCTTCATCTACCCGGATCGTTTTGAGCAAGTGGCGCACCTGGGGTTCAACTTCCCAAGTCGCCGGTGGGGTTCCACGGGGTCTTTGGGATTTTCCCTAAGGAACTTTGAGGAAGCCCAAGGATCATATCCTAAACTTCTCAACGAGTTACTATCTGGCATTGTTGAGGTGTACTTCACCGTCAGTGGCCTTGGATAGGGGTCAAAAAAGAATTTCGGCCGGTGTGTGTGATACCAAACTCCTGCAGGCTAGCAGACTTCTGCAACAGGAAACTGACCTTGAGCCACAAGAAACTATTGAGGTATGAGAGATCAACGATCATGTCTCAGAAGGATGTCACCGACCTAGAACGTTGCCCTCTTTGTAAGTGTATTTGCATGAATCTGTGTAAGTGTATCTGCATAAATATAGTATGTATGCCTGCGACTTGCTCTTCAATCCCTCCAACAGCCCTTCTTTCTTTCTCTTTTTTGTTCGGGGAGGGGGGGTGTCCCGAGCCGCATGCAGGAAGGCGGACTTGCTTCGCAAAGGTTGCTCAGTTCTCTTTAGGGATGGCGAATGCTCATACTGTGGATGGACGAAATCCTGCACCACCCAAGAAACCCTGGAATGATGATTCCCTTGTAAATACCAACAAACAATGGTTTCCCATGGTCTCAAAGTGGTGCAGGATTTCGTCCATCCGCAGTAGGGAACCCCCCCCCAACAGCGGTTGGTGGACATAACCTTTACCGAATTTTGGTGCCCACCTCAACCACCGCGGTCCAGTGACATGGCTCATGCATGACATCTTACAGCTCTACCGGCGTTTCCTGAAACGAAGATAAAACAATGATCAACCATGAATAACCATGAACAGGGCTGAGGCGCTGACATACATCCCGCTGATTAGATTTCTCTATGCCTCCTTCACATCTTCTGACAAGAACTCTTTGGTGGTTGTCAAAACCGCCAACCACTCAGTTGATATCCACGTCTCACTTGTCCAAGGGGCATGGATACAAAAGCGTGATCTTCAGCCCTCGTCTAAAGCTACAACTAGCCAACACTCAGGTAAACCAAGCATAACTTATCAAACCACTACTTGTTGCAAGAAACAACAAGGGCACCTAGTTCTAGTTCCTCCAGACCCCCCAGTGGATTTGCATGCGAAATAGGCACTCTCTTCTTGTGCAGTTGACTTTAAACTTTAAATGGAACCCCCCCTCCAAACAAAAAGGTCGCGGTACGGTGGATGCCCTAAACATTGCAAGTAGGCAGCAAGAGGAAACCCTGTAAACTTCTCTGGTTGGTAGCTGACTTCCTTGCGATACTGGGGCCATCCACAAAAAAGTTGCTCCAAGGAAAAGCGAGCGCCGGAAATCTCTGCCGCGGAACTTCTCAAAGAGCTCCTCCTCCTGGTCGCCCATCCGGCGATTATGGGCGGCGTGTCAGCTCGCTCGCTCCAAGGCTCGAGCAGAAGGCCAGCAGAAGGCTCGTGCGGAAATTGTGGCGCTTTTGGCGGAGGGTCTTCATTGTCACTCTTTACGCATCGGCCCACCAAGGGCGCCAATCTTACTGAGCCCAAGACGCCAATTGGGGGGTATAGGAGGACCAATGTTTTACCCTCCCACAAACACACCGAGTGCATGGAACATCTGCTCCAAAAGGATGTTTGCCTTCGAAACGCGTTCTGTGCACTTTCATGTTTGCGGAGAGCAGTCGCAGCAGTGGCCCATGGTTGCTCTGCTTGGGATGGTTTGATTTTGCTGAGCGAAGAACAGCGTTGTGCGACCAGTGCTTTCGGAGAGAAAAAGCTTACAAATGCAGCCTTGGCCTTGCTGTTCACTCGAACTGAGTGGTCAGCTTCCTGAAATGTACTCAAGCATGTTCAGCATCTCTCCAAACAAACCACCAAACGTCAGCGACCTGGTTCTGACACTTGGATCAAACTGAGCCCCCCATGCTGGGTTTCTCCCAAAACGCCGACAACCAAATATTTCAAATAGCCCTACTTGGAGGACCTGAAAACCTGAAACCCTATGATTGACAACTATTGCGAACTGGGAATAGCAAGAAACACCTCACTAGAAGAGTCTTGATGGCTATGCTGACCATTTGGGTATGTGTCAAATTGGGATGGCCTCCTGAAGCGAATTCACCAAGACTTTTTGGCTCTACCAACCGGGTCATAAAGGTTTAGGCAGCCCTGACATACCCTGACTATGATCCCCACTGGATCAGGGAGCATAGGACTCTCTAACTGCCATCGCTACATTGCTGCCAAGCACTCCTCTCAATTAACTTAAGGAATCCAGGAGAAACGCAAATCTTCAGAGGAGACTCCTCTTGGGGGAGCCCGGGCTTTGTCCACCCCGGTTTGGGCAACCCACCCGCCTTTGTCACATGTACCCGAGGCACTTGGGGTAGCCGCTGGCAATGCGCAAACCTACGCTCAAGCCGCTCCGAAGCTCCCGGAGCTTCGGCGCGCGCTTTGGGAGCAACGCGCGTCTGCGGTTTGAGAAGACGGGGGTCCTTCCGGGAGAAGCGTTGAGTCTTCTCCATGATTGGAGTTGGGCCCAGTTATAGAATGTATATTTTAGTGTTTGCTTCACTTTGAGTCACTGGTAAAATGCAGAATGTATCCTAAGTCTACCCCAGTGTCATGGTCGTCTCGGCCGTGTCTGTTGTTTTTCTTGTGCTTATTTCTATTTTCTTGCTGGATCCGGTCCGGTCCGTGCAGTCCGCGGTAGGTGCATCCTTTTTTGGTGGGTTGAGCTTGAAGGGAACCCTTCCCACAAAAAAGGAATCAGGGCGCCACTTGGCAAGTGGGGTTAAGAGCACAAAATCATAATAAACCCATCCGTTTTTTTCAATGCCCGGCGAGCGTGCCCAGTCTGGCTCAAGCGAACGCCAGTGCACAGCTGCCCACGGCACCAGTCACGGGACAGGATCCCTCTAATTGGTGGTCCACTTAGCGAACCTTCAAAATCCAAAAGAGACAGTGTCGAGAAAGTGCTGAGCCTCAGATCCGGGTTGACCGCTCGCAGTGAGTTGTATATTAGCAAACCCTAAGGCATGTTGCGCTGCGTTAAGTCACCATGCAGAAACTACACATAGAACATATCACCATCTTAAACTGAGCTCTGCGTAGACGTGTGTGTGTGTGGGGTTCTGACTACCATGTCCTTCCAGAACTCCTGGTAGCTCCTTACAGCTAGCAAGCTGTGGCGACACGTTTTGGGGAGTTTTTGCACTTACACCACCTCCTTAGGCATTCTTTTGATGTGCGCCTGCAACACAGCAGCTGCTGGACCTTGCACGGCGGGGGTCCGAGCGACTCCTGCATTTGTGCTGAAAAAGCACGACTTGTTTTTGTTCCGAGGGAAAGCCCTTGGACTAAAGAAATATTTGTGTGTGTGGGGGTGTACAATATTAGAACACGGAAGCTCGCTCCCCACAAACCAACCCACAGGACACCATCCAGTCCTGAAACTTCATGGGTAGGCGGGCCAGCTTTCCAGCCCGCCCGCCCCGGACACAAACAGGTAGCCTCAACAAAACAAACCTAAAATGGCAGCTGTCTCTTTGCTTTTAACCTAAACATGTCAGTTCTCCTTCCGGTTTCAACCTAAACATGTCTAGAATGGCAGTTGTCTCTTTGGCTCTAACCCAAACATGTCAGTTGCCCTTCTGGCTTTCCCATAAGAGCATCAAGTCTCCCACCATCGCTGGGAGCAAACACCGGCTGTGCTTCCGCTCGAAACGGCTCCGACCCACCGCGCGTTCAATGGTGGACGGGGGCCCGAAACATGTCCAGGTTTCAATCTCCCACCCCCCCCCCCTCCCCATATACCGACCTTTAAATAAGGGAGAAACACGACAAAAAAAAAGAGGTTTCCCACATTCTCAACCGCCAAATTTGTCCCACGGATGGCCTTTTCACGTGGAGACCCGCGAGCCAGCTGCTGAAGTTCCTCTTCGCCGTCTCTTTGAAGGCCACCGACGTCACTCTAAGTGTGACCAAAGAAGCACAGATATGTATACATACATATATATATATATACAAATATAGATATATGTATCGACACCCACACGTGTATATAATGTACATATGATCATATATATATATAATTATATATATGTATGTATGTAGGTATGGATATATATATATATAGGTATGTAGGTCGGTATGTATGTATGTAGGTAGGTAGGTATGTATGTATGTAGGTAGGTATGTATGTATGTATGTATGTAGGTAGGTATGTATGTATGTGTATATATATATATGTATGTATGTACGTATGTATATAGGTAGGTATGTATGTATGTGTATATATATATGTATGTATGTATGTAGGTAGGTAGGTATGTGTGTATGTATGTATAAAAATATATGTATGTATGTATGTATACATATCTATATGTATGTATGTATGTATGTGTGTATGTAGGTATGTATGTATGTAGGTATGTATGTATGTATGTAGGTAGGTATGTATGTAGGTAGGTTGGTATGTATGTATGTATGTGTGTGTATATATGTCTGTAGGTAGGTAGGTATATATGTATGTATATAACATTCGCGTGTATGTGTCATTTCGTGTATACAAATATATACATGTATACATATCATACACACAAAAAAGGCTGACCTCTTCTACGTGTGTGACAACGTGACCCTGCGCTATCTTTCTTCTGAAGGGTGAGCTGGGCCGCAGGGGCTGCCTGCTTTGACTGTACGATTTCGACCTAGCCACATCCCGCCGCCCACAAGTCAGCGGACCATAGCGGCCCACTGTCAGCCAAGCCAGGCAGCAGATCAAGGCTGTTGTGTTTGCTCCTTGATATGCCTCGATTCTGATAATGCTTGGAAAGCAAAGGAATCTCAAAAGAGACAATGTGTGTGTGTGTGTGTGTGTGTGTGTGTGTGTGTGTGTGTGTGTGTGTGTGTGTGTGTGTGTGTGTGTGTGTGTGTGTGTGTGTGTGTGTGTGTGTGTGTGTGTGTGTGTGTGTGTGTGTGTGTGTGTGTGTGTGTGTGTGTGTGTGTGTGTGTGTGTGTGTGTGTGTGTGTGTGTGTGTGTCTGACTTTGCCTGGTGGCTGACTCGTGAATGCCGGTGCGGAAAATGCAGCGATGTTTAGACCACTGCATTTGCTTTGGATATCTTTTGATAGTCATGAAACATGGCCCCTGAGGGAACATGCGGGAACATGCGGGAACATTGATGGCAAAGCGCATCAAGGCACTATGGCGCTGAAATGCGCTGAAGAATGGAGGGAGCATGAGGGAGCTTAAAGACCCTTTGGTGTCACCCCAGCTGCGCGCTCATTCAAACTGCACTACGTTGGCTGCTGCATAAATATGGGTGAACGGTCTTGAATGCTTGCAGTTGTCTGCCTGTCTGACATGCTGAGACACAGCTGCTGTAGGAGTCATTGCAAGGAGTCATTGGTGGTTTCATGACCCCCTTCTCCTTACCATCAGCCCCTGGGGGCCCCTGGAAGGTCAGAAGGGGGATCATTGGAGAAGGGGTTTCATACCAGCCACCGGCCAGCCTACTGCCAACCACCTAACCACAACCACCAACCACACCACCAAAAAAAACTATAGGAAACCTTTTCTGGAAACACTTCACATCCTTAAAACATTCGTGTGTATGTGTATGTATATGTATATATATGTGTGCCTTACGTGTATACACAAATATATATGTGTACAAATCATACACACAAAAAAAGGCTGACCTAGGAGTCATTGCTAGGAGTCATTGCTAGGAGTCATTGCAAGGAGTCATTGCTAGGTTGGTGGTTTCACCCTTCATCATCCCTTCCAGTGGTGCTCATCAGCCCCTGGGGTCCACTGGGACGGTCAGAAGGGGGATCATTGGAGAAGGGTTTCAGGGGTACCAGCCAGCCACCAGCCAGCCTACCAACCTACCCTCCGCCTGACCACACCAACCTACCAACCACCAACCACACCACCAAAAAAAACTATAGGAAACCTTTTCTGGAAACACTTCACATCCTTAAAACATTCGTGTGTATGTGCATGTATATATATATATATATTTATATGTATATGTGCATTACGTGTATACACATATATACATGTATACATATCATACACACACAAAAAAGTAGGAGTCATAGCTAGGAGTCATTGCTAGGTTGGTGGTTTCATTATCCCCTTCTCCTCCCCACCCTTCATCATCCCTTCCAGTGGTGCTCATCAGCGGACCCTCCCAAGGGTCCACTGAAAGGTCAGAAGGGGGATCATTGGAGAAGGGGTCCCAGGGGTACCACCAGCCAGCCACCAGCCAGCCTACCAACCTACCAACCACTTAACCACACCAACCTACCAACCACCAACCACACCACCAAAAAAAACTATAGAAAACCTTTTCTGGAAACGCTTCACATCCTTAAACCATTCGTGTGTATGTGTATGTATATATATATAAGCATTACGTGTATACACATATATACATGTATACATATCATACACACAAAAAAGGCTGACCTAGGAGTCATTGCTAGGAGTCATTGCTAGGAGTCATTGCAAGGAGTCATTGCTAGGTTGGTGGTTTCATTATCCCCTTCTCCTCCCCACCCTTCATCATCCCTTCCAGTGGTGCTCATCAGCGGACCCTCCCAAGGGTCCACTGAAAGGTCAGAAGGGGGATCATTGGAGAAGGGGTCCCAGGAATACCACCAGCCAGCCACCAGCCAGCCTACCAACCTACCACCAACCACACCACCAAAAAGAACTATAGGAAACCTTTTCTGGAAACACTTCACATCCTGAAAACATTTGTGTGTATGTGTAGGTATATAAATATATATGTGCATTACGTGTGTACGAATATATACATGTATACATATCATACACACAAAAAAGGCTGACCTAGGAGTCATTGCTAGGAGTCATTGCTAGGAGTCATTGCAAGGAGTCATTGATGGTTTCATGATTCCCTTCTCCTCCCCACCCTTCATCATCCCTTCCAGTGGTGCTCATCAGCCCCTGGGGTCCACTGGAAGGTCAGAAGGGGGATCATTGGAGAAGGGGTACCACCAGCCAGCCACCAGCCAGCCTACCAACCTACCAACCACCTAACCCTAGCACCACCCAAAAAAACCTATAGGAAACCTTTTCTGGAAACACTTCACATCCTTATACAAAGATTATATGTATACACACACACATACACAAATATAGATATATGTATCGACACCGACATGTGTATCTCATATACATATGTTTATATACATATATATATATATATATGGTCACCCCCCCCCATGATCCACATTTTGCCTCTTGCAAGCAAAAAACACTGGAAAAACACATGTAAAATGCTTGTTTTTGACCACCTGTTCCAGGATCAGATTCTGATCCTGGAAACTTGGGTCAAAAACAAGCATCATTCTTGATGAGTAGATTAGTCAAAGATTGCGACATTCTTGATGGACAGATGTTAGGCAACTTGAAGCAGATGCTTACAGATGGTTTGTGTGGACAGCCTTCTGGAAAAAAAGTTAGCAGGGAGCAGATGGAACTTATGGAAGCAGCATGCAGAAAGTGCTGTACTGTCCCTAAAATCCAGGCGTTGGAGGCTGAAAGTGCTGTACTGTCCCTAAAAAACCTAAAAAACCAAAACCATTCCAAAAACAGTCTTGGGCACACAAACCTCCTTCTGGCAAGGAATTTTTGGCACTTTTTTTGGTTTTTTAGGGACAGTACAGCACTTTTTTGGTTTTTAGGGACACTTTTGAACAGTACAGCACTTTCAGCCTCCAAAGCCTGGATTTTAGGGACAGTACAGCACTTTCTGCATGCTGATGCTCAAAAGTGTTGTACTGTCCCTAAAAAACCAAAAAAGTGCTGTACTGTCCCTAAAAAACCCAAAAAAGTGCTGTACTGTCCCTAAAAAACCAAAAAAAGTGCTGTACTGTCCCTAAAAAACCAAAAAAAGTGCTGTACTGTCCCTAAAAAACCAAAAAAACGTGCTGTACTGTCCCTAAAGAACCAAAAATTCCTTGCCAGAAGGAGGTTTGTGTGCCCAAGACTGTTTTTGGAATGGTTTTTTAGGTTTTTTAGGGACAGTACAGCACTTTCAGCCTCCAAAGCCTGGATTTTAGGGACAGTACAGCACTTTCTGCATGCTGCTTCCATAAGTTCCATCTGCTCCCTGCTAACTTTTTTCCAGAAGGCTGTCCACACAAACCATCTGTAAGCATCTGCTTCAAGTTGCCTAACATCTGTCCATCAAGAATGTCGCAATCTTTGACTAATCTACTCATCAAGAATGATGCTTGTTTTTGACCCAAGTTTCCAGGATCAGAATCTGATCCTGGAACAGGTGGTCAAAAACAAGCATTTTACATGCGCTTTTCCAGTGTTTTTTGCTTGCAAGAGGCAAAATGTGGATCAGCGACTCAGCACGATGAGGAGGCACAGATGCCATGATTGGAGCAGAAGGGAGTATCAGGAAGTTACCTCAAATTGAAATGGCTGCAGCAGAGTACACGGAAATTTGATGAGCTTGAGATGCAAGCAGTATGTTAATAGCCTCCATTGGGAGTTGGGCTAATAGTACTTCAGCCATCAGTTACACACTGCGGGGTCAAACTAAGGAGCCAGAGCTGAGAACAGCAATACCAAATGTGGATCATGGGGTTGGAATATCAGAAAGTTGCCCAGCTTTGCAATGGATGCAGTATAGCACAAGGAAACTTAATGAGCTTGATATGCAAGCAGACTCAGGCGTACATGGTCAGCAGGCTTTTTTTCCTTGCGGCTTGGAAAACTGAGAGAGTAAAAGCAGTCCTAAGGACTGTCCCATAAAAAACTATGGCAAATGCCTCTCACTCATAATCAAGCCAAGTTCATTCTCTTGGAGGACGGTCTCCTCGCTCGCGCTGATCTTGAAGTGCAAGCCTTCGAAGCTGAACACTTCCGATCCTTAGATGGGCAAGAGCAGAAATGACAGCAGAAGGACCCCATAAGAAACT